TGTCGCAGCCCCAAGGACGCCTCTGCCTCCGGCCAGAGCGACGAGGACGGCGCCCGGTAGGCTGGGCCTGGCCGCCGTGCCGAGCCGCTGAGGCGGCAGCGCGCCGCTCCCGAGTGCAGTGTGGCGGCGGTGCTTCTGCGCACGGGTTTTTAGGGAGAGCCGGCCTGCTTCGGCGTCGGGCGTCGGGCGTCGGGCGTCGAGCCCGCTGTACAGAGGTGCCCGAGAGTGTACAGGCCCAGGCGCCGGGCCGAGCGAGGACCGCGGGAGGAAAGCAGTCATCGCGGAGGCCCTGCGGCCCGTGCCTCCGGCCCCGTCGGGGGACGACGGCGGCCACGACGGCGACGGCGACGGCGGCGAGGAGGAGAAGTCCAAGAACGCGAGGGGCTGTCTTTGGATTGTCTGGGGAGTGCTCTGGGCGGTGCCCGAGAGGGGCTTCTTTGGGGGTGTTCTGGGGAGCCCCTTGGAAGTCTTGGAGACCTGCGCCTCTCGGAAGCCTCTTGGAAACCTCTTGGGGCTCTCCTGGAAGCCTCCTGGGAGCCTCTCTTGGGGCTCTCCTGGAAGCCTCTTGGGAGCCTCTCGGGAGCCTCTTGGGAGCCTCTTGGGAGCCTCTCTTGGGGCTCTCCTGGGAGCCGCGTGGGGGCCTCTTTTTGGGGGGGGTCCGTGGGCGCCTCTCCGCCAGGCGCCGGGCCCGCGCGCGGCGCCCGCGGCCCTGCGGCGCGGAGGCCCGCGCGAGGCGCGTTTGGTTTTTTTTTGGGGGGGCGGCGCCCCCTCCTCCTCTCCTCCTCCTCCTACCTCCTGCCTCTCCTCCTCCTCCTCCTCCTCCTCCTCACCTCCTCCTATCCTCCTCTCCTCCATCCCCCAGGCGTCCCTCTCGGGGGGTCGGGGGTGCGTAAGACCGGGGTTTGCCGGGACTCGGGTTCGCCATCGTTTTTTGACGACCGCGCCTCGGATTTTGACGAGGGGGAGTTTCGTGGGATGTCTGCAGCGGGAGGCCTCGTCAAAATGCAGGCTCGGCCTCGTCATTTTTTTGACGACCTCGTCGGGGATTTCCGAGTCCCCTGTATCCGGGTCTTGCGTCTCCCCGAGAGGCGCGTTTGTTTTTTGGGGGGGGGCGGCTCCCCCAGGGCCCGTCCCTCTGCAGGGGGAGAATGCAGGAACAGTCAAAATTCAGGAACGGTCCAGAAAATAGTCCAACAATTCAGGAATGGTCAAACAAATAATAGTCAGAGTTCAAAATCCAGGAGTGGTAAAAAAAAACGTCAAAAAAACTTCAGGAATAGTCAGAAAATAGTCAGGATTGAAAACCCAGCAAAATGCAGGAATAGTCAAAAAATAGTCTGGGGATGATTGTGTGAGTATCTTTGATCATTTTTTTTGTTTTTTTGTTTTTTTTGTAGTTTTGGAGCGCTCTCTCGACTGTTCGCTCAGGATCTGCCTGTCTGGTGGACGCGCCCGACCCAGTGTTAGCGTCTGGGCGTGCTCGAAGAAGAGGCACTGCCTCGACATGAACTTTCGGAGCTCGGCGCGGATCTCTTGCTGGGTAGTCGAAGGCCAGACTGTCAGATTGGATTGGGCCCCAAGGGCCAATCTGGCCCGGCCAAACTGGATGATTTGGGTTATTCGCCAGACTGGATTCGCGTTGGCTCCCTCGCCAGATTGCCCCCGTTTGCCAGATTGTGCCTGCCAGATTGGCGCCAGATTGGCTTCGACTACCCAGTCTTGGATCGGCGGCGCCGGGCGCCGCTAAAGGCGCCTCCAGCGCCGCCCGCGGCGTGCCCCGCGCGCCAGGAGAGGGGGGTCCAGCGCGCCGGTGCAAAAAATCCGCGCAGAGCTCCGAAAATTCATACGGAGTACGGAGTTGCTCTTCAGTATGACCGAGTCTGAGCGACCGGGCATGCCCAAGTGCCATGCCTGCCACATCGCGATGGCCATGGTGCCTTGAAAAAATACTCGCCTGCTGGGCCGAAGCAGGTCTTTTCGCCAGAGAGGTCCTAAGCATCTGGGCGCGAACGGGCCCGAGACATACCCCCTGGCGGCTCCCCCAGGGGATGACCAAGTGCCACCCCTGCTGGCGTTTGAGATAGGGCCTTGCGCAGAGATGCGCCTATCCCTCGAACGCAGCCATCTGTTGGAAAGGTCCCGAGAGCCTGGGCGTGAAGTCGGAAACTGGAACGTATACATTACCAGTGGCGGGCTGTTTTTCAATCCCAGGATTTTTTG